AAAGTCATCTTAGGGATGTCTTATGTCCTCATTTTCACATGATGGTAACCTAATCGCAGGTCTATTTTGGAGAAGACCTGTGTATCCTGCAACTGATCGAAGAGGTTATCAATCTTGGGTAGGGGATACTTGTTCTTAATTGTGACCCTGTTCAACCCTCTATAATTAATACATACTCTCAACGTTCCATCTCTCTTTCTGACAAAAGTGACTCCGGCACCCCAAAAGGACACACTATGTATGATAAAATCATTGTCTTGTAATTCAGTGATCTGTTTCTTCAGCTCCTCCATCTCAACGCGGGTCATGTGGTAAGGAGCAACCAAGATAGGTTGGGTGCCTGGCTGTAGATCTATGGTGAACTCGACTTTTCTGTCCACTAGCAGTCCGAGTAGTTCATCCGGAAATACATCTGGAAAGTCTCGGACTACCGGAATCTCTTGAATACAATTCTCTTTCTTGGATTTGCCTAATTAGAGAAAATAGCAAGGTTAAGGTCCTCGACAAATAAGAAAACTTTCCATCAAGGAATAAGTATTAAATGATTTTATTAATTTGTAAATAGCTCCTCATTAGGAGGATTGACTACAATCTTCTTGCTAAAACAATTTACGGTGGCGTGATATGCCGCTAGCTAATTCATCCTCAAGATTACATCAAAATCCCCCATGTCTAATTCTATTAGGTCTACACTCAATTTTCTATTTGCTATCTCCACGGCACAAGCCCTATAGATAACTTCTCCCAATAGTGTTACACTCCCAGCAGTAGATACAAATAACATTGAATCAAGTTTATCAAGTAATACATTAAAATTGGATGCAAAAACAAGTGAAACAAATGAATTCGATGCATTAGTATCAATCAAAACATGAGCAAGATGGTTACAGATAGTATACATACCCTATACCACGTCCGGGTCGGCTTCGGCATCCTGCTAGGTGATGTTGTAAGCCCTGCCCTAGATAGGAGGTCTTCCCTGATTCTGGTTCTTTAGGCACTCTCTCGCATAGTGTTGGGCACTACCACATATGCGATAGATGTTGTTGAGGCAGTAGCATGGTCGGTCCCCGTGATCCCTGCCGTAATGTTGACAAATCTTACCGCGTCCTGCCACTGGAGCCTGGATCACTGGTCTGGGCCTCTTGTTCTATTGGACAGGCACAGTAGGTGCTAGTTTGTGGTTCCCTGCTGACTAAGGGAGGGTGTGGAGGCTCCTCTCCACTAACTGTGCCTTGACCAGAACGGCCGAGTAAGTTTCGAGCTCCAGTATAAACAAATGCCGCTTGATCTCTGGGCAGAGGCCCCACTAGAACCTCTTAGCCTTCTTGCCCTCATCCATCAACGTCTCAAGAGAGTATCGACCCAACTCTAGGAACTTACGAGTATATTCTGACACCGTCATGTTCCCCTGGACCAATTGGACAAACTCCATCTCCTTCAGACGTTGGATGTGCTCTGGGAGGTACTCTGCATGAAAGGCTGCTAGGAACTATTCCCAAGTAACTGGAACAGGCAGGGTGATCTGCTTGAGTTCCCACCAGTGGTCTGCTTCTCCCACCAGCATGTAGGTAGTAAGAGTGACCCTCTGCTCAGGAGTCACCCCTAGGGTTTTGAAGGTCTTCTCCATCTCCGCCAACCAGTACTAGGCATCTTCAAAAGAGGATTCCCCTACAAAAGTAGATGGGTTCAGTCTCCTGTACCTCTCTATATAACCTGGGTCAATTATGGAATGAGCTGAGTCCCGCGGAAGAGGGACTGGGCCAGGCTGAGGATAGACTGGGGAGCCCTGTGGCGATACTTGTTGATATGGTGGGGGCATTGGATTATACTGTGGCGATGCCGGGCAGTACTGTGGCTGGGACACCGGATTATACTGCGACGGTGGTACCGGGTGGTACTGTGGAGGAGCAGGCTCGTACCGAGGTGGTTCAGGATCCTCTCGCTGCAATGGTGGCTCAACCTGTGGCAGCGAGGAAGGGTCAGGTAGCTCCCTCCTCTCCTCTCGGCCCTGCTGGGCCGCAATGAGTCTTTCTAATATCTCAAATATCTTGTCCACGACTTCCCTGAGCGAACCCTCCCGGGCTGCCCGGTTTAGTGGGGGTCTTTCTCTTTTCATCTCTTTATACCTGTATTTCACAAGGAAGAGTTGAGTGATAATTCATTATTTGGTGTTTCTCTAAGTATTATTGTATAAGGGACAGGTCCGAGGAACGCGGCTCTGATACCAGTTGTAACGGCCCCGAAAATTCAAAAAAAAATACATATAATAATCTGAGTGCGGAAGTGAAATAAAAGATTAAAGTTAACATCCCTTACACAATAATTTAAAAGTAGTAAACAATATTACAGAATAAGTTCTCTAAAAGAAATACGATAAATGAGAAAAATAAAGAAAACTATAAAGCATCTAGCATCTACTCGTCGTCTTCTTGTGGATCGGGCTCGGGAATTAGGTGCTCCTGATCTGAAATTATTAAATACGGAATGAGGTACACTAGCCCAGAAAGGACATCACACTATATCACCATCATAGAAGCAAAGGTTGGTAGAAAATCAAAAATAACCAATGGAGCACAAATTTTAAACCAATACATTTATTTAAAATAAAACTACTTACCCTTTTTCTTACCCTTAGAGAACCTGTGAAAACAACCTATAAATACAATAACATCATACAAATCTCAATTTCATGCATAATCAGTAACATAAAACATATAATAAAGCTGTAGTCGTTAACAATAACTGATTATCACTGTTTTTTGTTTTCACCAGCCCACTAATATCCATGGAGATCCATAGGGGTGTCCCCGCTATACGTGAACCATTTTTCTTAACAGTCTTAATTCCAAGGTCGTCCCCATACCCCGTCCAGTATGAGCGCTAAGATATTAAACTTCAATACCCCGTCCAGTATGAGGGTCAAGCGAGCCGTCCTCATACCCCTTCCGGTATGAGTGCCAAATAACTAAGTCTCCATACCCCGTCCGGTATGAGACGACGTTCACGATAGGGTTTCCTATGAACCCGGTCTGTCCACCATCTCGCAGGATATCTAGCAAGGCTGTCACCTTATCTGTTTCCCCTTAGTCTCTGTTATCAAGTTGAACATAATCACATAAACAATAAACATGCACCCGGTAATACAATCATATCTTAAATTTTAAAATCACACAGTGGTCAAGTGAGACAGTAACACATGCATTTAAAACTATAGAATAGATAGACCGGATACCATAATGTATTTAAACTGTAAAATAAATCAAGTAGGAATCGACAGAGAATAATGTCTGGTTCGGGCTCCATTAGCAACCTTAATTAATTATGCATATCTATTTAATTTGTACAAAATACAGTATTATCATTTATTCGAACTTTAATTCTATGATAGAAAATATGGTGAGGGGTCCTTACTTGATTTGACGCCGAAAACTAGATTGTTACTGCACCTACGGGCGGTCCTTAGGTTCTCTGAATTTTTTTTCGGGAACTGAAACACGCTTACGGTACATACATATGTCCCAAATAACCCAAAAATCATACCCAGGCTCTACTCGGCCAATTTCAGAATTCCGGCACGGCGGCTTCACCGTGCTCCGACGACAGCGGCGGTGATCCAACTCGGGTTGGCTATTTTCAGTCATTTTTGGTCGTTTTTGGCCGAATTCAGCCAAACTTGCATCAGTTGCTATGAGAAAATACACTTAGAGCCCTCGATGGGCCGGAAAAATGTAGAAAACTGAAACTCACCGGCAGTGAGGCTCTCCGGTGCGGCGGCTCCTCTGACTCACGTTGCGATTGGGTGTTTTGCTCTGGTCAACCTGTAGAGGAGGAAATGGTGATCACAATGGTGGAAAAATTACATCGAACGGGAATCAGGAAGGGCCTCATCGGAGGAAAAAACCGAAACACCCTACGGTAGTGTCGTTGAGCTTCGGTAGCGTTTTTCGGCCAATTGGTTGGTGCTTTCGCTCCAATTTGGCCATAGGTGGGTTTGGAATCAAATTCTGAGCAAATGGTAGAACTTTTACTTTGTTTGGCGACTGAAAATTGCTCCTGTGCGGCGACGGGTGGCTGCGGTCGGCTCCTTGGTGGCTGGGCTGTCTTTTCCGGCGATGGGCTCTAGCGGCTAGGGTTAGGGTTTGGGTACGGGTGGGATTATTTATACCCATCCACTTTTGATCTTATCCGTCCATCGCTTTTAATTTAGACTGTCCGATCGCGATTAAATAAGGAGTGAATTTGGGTTATTTATCGTGATTCAATCTGGACCGTCCGTGCACGATTCAATCTACATCGTCCGTGCGCGATGTAATCTGGGCCATCCATGCGCGTTTTTGATCTGGGTCGTCCATGCAAGCGGGAACAGATCTCAGCCGTTCGATCACGCGCACGTGGATCGCCCACGTGGCTCCCTCCCGCGTGGCCTCCCGCAACAAGGTCTCTGCCACCTGGCGCGTCCTGGTTGGTCAGGGCTGTTGACCGAACAGTTGGCATAGCAATATTTTTCTAAATTACATTTTGACCCATGATTTTTTATTTTTCTTTCAAAAATATCTCTAGAACCCAAATTTTCACCTTTTTTTTCCAAAATTATTTTCAATTAAATCTCTAAACAATTTTTACCTTTTCTTATTATTATTAATTATTATTTTTATTAAAATAAATTTTTGTTGTATTATACCATTTACAACCTCTTTGACTTGAATTAAATATGAATTAATAAATAAGTTTTATTAAATTTATAAAGCTATCTAAAACATAGCTTTCATAACATCTATACAAGAAAAGCTGTAAAGAATCAAGGTAATGATATTCCATCAGAAAAAAAATAATTATAATAATAATAATAATCGAGCCATTGATAAATTATGATAATTACAATATAAATTAATGATAATAATAATAAAAATAAATTATAAATAATTTAAACTTGTATGTAATGTTCCGGTGCCACCTGGGACCTGTGTCGTACAAGTCAAATATCCATTTACGATTTCAAACACACTTTATCCGGTCAAAACCCCAATTCCCACCCTCTCTGCACTAAAACCCCGCGCGAAGAGGATAATGCAAGTCCTCCAAAACCCTCCTCTCTTCACCTTCCCCAAGTCTCTAAACCCCCCCGGCAAATCCCTCCACCTTCCCACCCTCAACATTCTTCCATTGCGTCGTGCCTCGACTACCACCCTTAACTTTCCATCATCCAAGTGCTTCAGCTCCGATGAGTTCCCGGTGGATGAGACTTTCCTCGAGAACTTTGGGCCCAAGGACAAGGAGACCGAGGACGAAGCCCGCCGTCGCAACTGGATGGAGCGCGGTTGGGCTCCATGGGAGGAAATCCTCTCGCCCGAGGCCTATTTTGCACGCAAATCCCTCAACGAGGGAGAGGAGGTTCCCCTCCAGTCCCCCGAATCCATTGAGGCTTTCAAGATGCTGAGGCCATCTTACCGTCTCAAGAAGATGAAAGAAATGGGGATGACCCAAGACGAGTGGTACGCCAAGCAGTTCGAGATTAAAGGGGAGGTCCCGCCACCATTGGAGACCTTTTGGGCGGGGCCCCTAGTCGTGCGCCACGTGCCCCCTAGGGATGGCCTCCTAGAGGGTGGGAGGTGGACAGGAAGGAGCTGGAGTTCATGAGGGAGGCGCACAAGTTGCAGGCCGTGAGGGTGGGGTTGGAGGAGTTGGAAAGGGAGGTGAGGGAAGGAACGGATACCCTGGAGGAAATGTGTTGGGACAGATACAAAATGTTCCTCAAGCAATACAATGAGTGGGTAGCCGCCAATAAGGATAGATTGGAGGAGGAGTCTTACAAGGTACGTGAACTCCAGGTTATATTGGTTAATTCTGGAATTATGGCATACTTTTATAAATTATGACAATGGAAGTTGATATTTTTCTTAATATAACACTATATATGGAGGAAGGGAAGTGGAATGAAATGAAAGAAAATGATGGGATTTTCTTACCTTTAGTAGAAGTAAGGGGGGATTTTCCATTAATTCAAGGTAGTAGATGTGAAAGGAATTAAAAATTTTAGATAGGGAGGTTTCTATTTTATTCTTTTTAACTAACTGATTATTTTGTTGATAAAGGGTATAGTTGATTATTTTCTCATAAATCATTTTTAAGTTAAACTAGAAAAAAAACAGTAATCTTCTTTTTAAAATTTGAACTTCTGAATAACAAGATAAATGCTTTAATTTTAATTTTTTTTTAAAATATCCTTTTTTTCCCCTCATTGCTTTACTAATTTTTATCCAAAGAAAGTGTAAGCTAAATTATCTAAGATTAGGTGGCAAAGCTTTAACGGGAAGAAAAAGAATGAGTAGTATTTTTCTGATGGAACTCCAGCAAAAGTTTTTATTTGACAATCTTGAGGCCATGTTGACTAAATGAATTAATTTTGTTGAATTCATCTGAAAATCTATGTTGATTGGAACTACTATAAAAAAATTTTTAAAAGACAATGAAATTTGTTCTCCTAAGCTATCTTCATAACAAATCAATAATTCTTGTGAGATTCATTTGGAAATTAATAACTAATTTGACTTTAAAAAATGAATATTCTATCTAAAATGAAAAAAATTAATTTTATATAAACTTTCTAGTAGAGGTGGAGCCACACATTTTAAATTTTATCAAAAGTGGTAGAATTTTAAACCATTATTTCAATTATACTTGGAACTAGCTATGGGCTTAGAATTTATCATATTTTAATAGAATTTGCATCATTTTAAGTTAAATTAAGTATAAACTTTCTAATGAATTTCACAGAAATTCTTGGTTTCTTCTAAACAGAGCCGATTGAAGTTTGAGTAAAATTGAAGTAATATTGTTTCAGTTGATAATCTAAATTTCATTAACATAACCTAAATTGTTGATTATAAGTACCCAAATTCTCTTAAATATTTTGGGTCTTATGAAAGGAAAGAAATAATAGGGTGTTTGATAGCAAAGAGTAGAGAATGGTATGCTTAAAAATAGATTGTTACACTATTTTGAATCTATCTTGTTAGATTATGATATTGTTAGGATGGAAGATTTTGGGCATGTCATTGACACCTTAACACAATTGTAAATGTTTTGTATATATATGGTGCCCTTGTAGAAAATGTTAGAATAAGGATAGTTTAGTATTTACTCTTTCTGGACAGGTGGAATGTCCATCATCACCACCAAAAATTGGTTACGTTTGTTGCTTGTTTTTCTTTTTCTGTTTTTCTCTCACACCCTCACTTTTTGTGTGACATTAGGGCAATGAGTGCCTATAAATGGCACCTCACCCTCTCTGTTTTAGTAAGTAAGAAATGAGAGAAGAATCTCTCATTTTATCTCTCAAACTCTGCTTCTATTAAAATCTTCATAGTATCAAAGCGCCTCTGATTCAGAAATCTCCTTCCGCGTGCGACAGATTCTTCAATGGTCATGGATGACCAAAACTCTTCATCACTCGAAGTTATTTCGGGTACGTATCTCCTCAACTCAATCAATACTGGAATGGTGGAGCAACATTCATCGTTCATCACCAGCCATCGACTCAATGGCGATAATTACCTCCAATGGTCGACGTCTATGCGGCTATTCATCCGAGGGAAAAGATGCGATGAATCTCTCACAGGAGAAGCTCCAGAACCTTCATCGAATGACCCATGTGCTCGAACTTGAAAAATCGACAACAGCATGGTAATGTCCTGGTTGCTAAGCTCTATGACTTCCGAAATTAGTGAAAATTTTCTTTTATATGAGACTGCTCACAAAGTCTGGGAAGCTACTCGTGAGTTTTACTTCAGCCGCGAAAACATCTCAGTAATTTTCGAAGTCGAATCCACCATCCACGAACTGCGGTAAGGTGAGCTGAACATTACTCAATATTATAACGCTCTCACTCGCAACTGGCAGCAGCTCAACGTCTTCGAAGATCATCAATGGAGCTGCCCAAAAGATGCTAAAAAATATAAAGAAATTGTGGAGTAGAAAAGAATCTTCTAGTTCCTCATGGCGCTCAACAAAAGCCTGAATGAAGTGCGGAGTCGAGTTCTAAGCACGAAACCACTGATGGGTATTCATGAGGTCTTCTCTGAAGTTCGACGAGAAGAAAGCAGGAAGAAATTGATGTTGGGAGAACCTCAGTCGACTCAGCTGAGTGAGAATGTTTCTGCTCTTACTTCTCGCATCTCTGATTCCCGTGGAAAGAAAGGGCGTCCATTCTGTGAGTTCTGCAAAAAGACAAGGCACGTTCGTGAGAAGTGCTGAAAGCTTCATGGGAGACCAGGAGAGAAGAGGATCATCGAGACACCTCACGGAAACTTGGCGACTCCGGAAGAGCTTTCTGTTCAGCCCGAAAGTGCTCCCTTCAGTTCAGAACAAATGGAGGCACTAGTGAAACTTTTTTCGTTAAAAATGGGAAGTCTGAGTAATTCCTCTGCCTCTGTTGCCCAAAAAGTTAAATACTCATTTGGTTTATCAACATGGTTCTATAAAAAACAGATTTGGATTGTGGATTCTGGGGCATCTGACCATATGATAGGATATGGGGCATCTGACCATATCAGTTCTTGCTCGGTGATCATCTTGAATATAAGGAAGATCTATTAATTAAGATTGATGATGGTTCAAGTTCTAGAGTGGCAGGAATTGGCTCTACAAAAATATCATCCTACTTGACACTCAACTTGGTTTTTTATATGCGTTATTTGGATTGCAATCTACTGTTTATAAGTAGATTGTGTAAAGACATGAATTGTATGGTGAAATGTGACAATCATTCTTGTGTATTTCAAGACTTAGTTTTAGGGAAGACGATTGACAATGCTAGGATGGATTCAGATCTCTACTATCTTGCAATTGACCCACCTACCTCAAGTAAACAAGTTTCTAATGTTGTATGTGATAATTCGGTTTCTATAGATTGTTTAAACGATGATGACACAATTATGTTATGGCATCATCGATTAGGCCACCCAAACTTTTTATACTTAAAGCAATTATGTCCTACTTTATTCAAGAATAAAAATCTACTTTCATTTCAATGTGAAGTGTGTCAATTTTCGAAACACATTCGCAATTCTTTTCCTAGTATACCATATAAATCCACACAACCATTTATTTTAATCCATAGTGATGTTTGAGAACTTTCACGAGTCAAAACTATTATTGGAAAAAAATGTTTTGTATCTTTTATTGATGACCATAGTAGAATTATCTGAGTCTTTCTTATGAGAGAAAAGTATGAAGTGAGCCAAATATTTCAGAAATTTAATACTATGATTCAAAACCAGTTTCACACCACAATACAAATATTGAAAACCGATAATGCATGTGAATACTTAGAATCATCCTAGGAGAATATTTTAATAATGAAGGTATCCTCCATCAAAACTCTTGTGTATATACCCCACAACAAAATGGCATAGCCGAAAGAAAAAATAGACGCATACTTGAAGTTACTAGATCATTGATGTTTACAACCCATGTTCGTAAATTTTTGTGGGGTGAAGCCGTTCTTACCTCTACCTACTTGATCAATCGAATGCCCACTCGGATACTAAATTTCAAAACTCTTTATAAAGTTCTCTTTCCAACATTTCCAAAATCTCATGTTTTAAACACTATCCCATTGAAAATATTTGGTTGCACCGTTAATGTTCACATTCACACTCACCTCAAGGAGAAATTTGATCCAATGGCTGTTAAATGTGTGTTTGTTGGTTATTCCTCAAATAAAAAAGGATGCAAATGTTTTTTTCTCAGGTACTCATCGTTTTTACAATATTATGGATGTAACTTCTTTGATAATCAACCATTTTATCCCACAACTAATATTCAGGGGGAGAATTTCACTCAAGAATATCAGTTAGCCCTCTTGCACCTTAAATCCTGTTGATATTTTTTCAGAATGTTCATATCCAGGAAAGCACAGAAAAACCGAATCCACAACAGATACTAATAACATAAATACTGATGGCATATTACCTGCAAAAAGTAAGCTACGGATCTATACAAGGAGAAATAAAACTCAAGATAGTAGAATTCCTAAATCAATCACGCAAAGTCATGAGTCAACTCCTGGACCAAGCACTTATAATACTACAGGATATAATACTACAGGATATGAAATTTCTGACTCACTGGTTAATATTGACACTAATGCTGAACTTCCTATTGCCTTGAGAAAAGGTGTCCGGTTTTGCACCATGCATCCCATATAGGATTATGTGTCATATTACAAGTTGTCTTCAACATACAATATACTTGTTAGTAAGCTCGATAACAATATTGTCCCAAGAACTGTTCATGAGGCACTTGAGCTTGCAGAATGGAAAGCCGCAATCCAAGAAGAGATCACAGCACTTGAGAAGAATGAGACATGAGAACTATCTGATCTACCTTCAGGGAAAAAGACTGTAGGGTGTAAATGGATCTTTACCATAAAGTATAATTCTAATGGAACTGTGAGCCGTCATAAAGCTCGCCTCGTTGCCAAAAGCTTCACTCAGTCATATGGGATTGACTATCAGGAAACTTTTGCCCTAGTTGTTATACATAACACAATATGGGTTTTATTCTCCTTGCCATCAAACCTTCATTAGCCTCTTCATCAACTTGATGTAAAGAATGTTTTCTTCAATGGAGATCTTGAAGAATAAGTTTACATGGAAGTCCCTCCTGGACTTAGCATCAGGTCTAAGAAGGTATCCAGACTAAAAAAAA